CATTTTTAGAACAATATCTTTATTGTTAGTCACTGAGTAAATTAAGCAAACAGTCTGATATAGACGCACGAACACACGAATTTTCTACGTGCGTTTTTATTGTATGAATTAGTCAAAAAAACGCAAGAAATCCAGAAGTTTGTGAAGAGGTGTTGGATTTAGTAAACCATCTCCTCAAAAAAGAGAAGACATGACAGAGAAAGTTTTTTAAGCCTGCTTGAAGTGCTAATTAGCAGCGTCACCGCAATTAAATTCCTCCATAATTTTTTGATTTTTCGACAGAATTATTAGCATTTCGAGCAGGCTTAAAAAAATTTGTGCTGAAATTTTAGAATTCAAATGCTCAGCTGAAAACTTAGAATTATACTGCTCAATAAATCAATGGAAAGCTATGCTTAAGCACTGAAAAAAATAGGTTAGTGTGGCCAACAGAGTAAAAATTGAAGACGCGCGTTTTGCAGACTATTTTCCAAGTTATATATTCTATAATTTTTTTGACGTGCACAGCTGCAGGCAACGTTAGCTTTTTCGCCAGATGTCTAAGTGTGATTGATTAATTATGTTGCCTTCGAAGCATTTGCTTATGCAAATTACTGACTATCCTCAGCCCCGGGATTCATTCTTTTTCTTAAGGATCCTTTTCTTTGTGCCACTACTTTTATCTGCTTTCCATCTGTCATTTTGCGCATCAATCGCATGTTACAACTTTAGTCATTTTGTCTTCACAAGTTCTTATTCTGTAGATTAGCACTCTAATTTTCATGGTTATTTTATACACTGTGAGCTATTATTAAAACAGTAGGGGTGACACTCTTAATTCTGCTGTTAGCTTAAGTCTTTGCTGTGAGACGCAAAAAATTTACAATCTTTGAACTGTGCTGATTTGAATACACTATTCTTTAACTTTAATTTGTGTTCAGTTTTGATTTTAGAAAAAATACTTCCATTATTTGTTTATATTTTCCAAAAAGTATTTTGTTTTCCAACAGTGGAAGTCAAAGTCAGGACTTCTTTCGCATTCATTCTTTGGTGAAAAGCAGGAGCATCTGAGTGGTACCACGTACCAGCAGCAACTGCCTGCTGAGGAGACTTACAGGTGGTACTTTCGAGGATACCTTAGAAACAAGTTAATGGCTGGCTTGACTCTCTAGTACGTCAGTTTACTATGGAATCAAACAAAGATCAACTGCCACAATGGCCAGGGTCGAACCCTCGACCTTCTGCACAACAGTACTGATGTTTTTCACTGCGCTACGCCACCAGTTCTAACAATAAAAGATTCCGGAGTGGATTTTTTTTACGCGGAGTGATCTGTGTCGGGCTCGACGTACCGTTACAAAACACAGAGTGTGACACAAAAGAAAAACACTACGCATAGCTGCACCTCAATTTATTTGCTAACTGAAAGTTTCGTCCAAATTTCGTCAATGCGGTAACGAACCTGCAGTTATCCTTTTTGATGATCATGAGTTTAATAAACTTACGGAAAGCAGCAATGCGAACAATTTTTTCCATGAGAAGAGCACTCAAAATGGACAACGATCAAACAAACGGAATTATTGCTCAACAAAACGGAACCCCCTTATCTTATCACCGACAAGCTGGCAACTGCATTTAGCAGGCTGTACTGTCTGTGTGAAGAACAACGACATCCGAGACATTTACTACTCATTCCGCAAATAAAACACAAAAGTAGCGCTCAGAGGAAATAATAAAAAAGGCTTGTTGCCGGCTGTGCAGGTTATCACTTGGAAAATACTCCGCTTATCACAAAAGAACGGCAAACGTTTGTTACATTCAGCGTATACCAGAGCACATCTAGAGGTCTAATGAAGTGAATGTGGTATAGTCATAATGAATTACTATGACCTGTTAAATAATATTACGAGACTGTGGTCAATATTAAATTAAACCCAGGCTGGGACGTACCAGGCGGGCCCGTGCGATCATGTGTTTTTGCACAGGACTGAAGTG